TCCTTCATCTGCACCAACATCTGCATGAGCTTCTCTTGACGTAGCTCCTGCTCTCGACTGGCCTGAGCTGCCTTCTTCATCTCCTCGCTGAACTGGTGCATCTGCGTCATGTTCATCTCGGACATCTTGATGACCGATGCGGCTTGCTCGTTCCTCATCTGGTGCATCAGGAATGCTGCTTGTCCCTCCATTTGGCTCTTGAGGCTCTCCTGCAGCTGGTTGATCTGCTCCTGACTTGGACTTCCCGGAGAATAGGGGATCAGCTGTTGGTAGATCCCGTGAGCCTCCATCGCGCCGGTTCTCATCGGTGGACTCGCAGGCATATAGGCATGGTTGCCCTCGGAGGAGTCGACGGCGCCGATGGAGTAGTCGGAATAGTAGTTCCCTGGGTGATGCTCAAGGGGCCTTGCTTCAGCAGCTTGCGGACATCTGCCGCCTTTTGGTTGTGGGCCCACCTGGAATGGCACTGCCGGCACACGATGTACGAGGCTGAGCCATTGCCTCCCCCACGAAGTTGATTCTTGGGGTGCATACATGCGCTGATCGCAGTCCTGGGGGCCTCTTTGCTCTTCAAAGGCGCCAATGGCTTGGCGGTGCGGATCACCTCCGAGTAGTAGTCCTCCAGGCTGTCGGCAGAGGATGGGCCCAAGCGCTGTGATCCCAACTCCAAGCACCAGGCTTCGGTGGCGTCCTGCATTGCTGCAAGGATGAGGATCACCGCGATCTTGTCCATGACGACTCGCCAGTTCCGAATGGGTACCTTTGAGTTGTACACCTTCGGATGCACCTCCATGGGCACGGCATCTTGAGTCGGTTGCACTCCCACCAGTTGCTTTGCTTTCGCCAACAGCGCCGACATGGGTAGCTGGTGAGATGACGTCGGTCTTTGGGTCGAATTGCGTGTGGCTCCTTCGAGCCGACATTGCTGCCACAAAACATGATGGTTTCCGAGTCTCAAAATCTTCTTGACAACCGGCATCGTCCGGAACGACGAACTTCCCTGATGCAAACTGAAACACATCGATCGTGACATGGCCACTAGGTAGTTGATGAAGATCCACAATTCGACCATGCGACTGAAGTGTCATTGTTCCACGTTTCAAATCGATCAACGACTCGAGGGCATCTCCCTGAACCACAGTGCACTCTAAGATTCCATTCACCCCTGCAATCCCAATGGGAATAAGAACCGTGCCCTCCACCGTGGCTGCCCCTCCGACTCCTTTAGCTTGCGACTTCTTGGGGATCCATCGAACCTTCAAAGCATGCCGTGCCAGTTCGACCTCGATGTTCTTGAGGGGACCGGTGCCTACCAAACCACCCTCGGCCGCAGTGTCCACAACCCCATGATGCGGTTGTGTTGAAATCCCACAAAACGTGATAGCCCCAGGCTGCCGCTCCATGTATGCCCCAACATCGGAGCGCTCAGCATCATCAAAAACCCCGTCAGTGCCGCATTCGGCCTGACGTTCAGAGGCTTCCTGCTGAAACCAAAAGTGGGCGCCGCTCTCAGCCGCTGCCGTGTTCTCCTCGTCGATGCGGACAAAGAAGGCTCGATTGTCATCTTTGGGCTTCGTCTGACACTCCTTTTCCCAGTGTCCCACCTGGCCGCAACGCCGGCACCTGGTGCGAAGCTTCAACTGCTCTATGTGGATCTTCCTCTTGCCGCCTCCTTTGTCTTTGCCCTTGGCGGGGTAGTTCGGCTTCCCTTTTCCCTTCCCGGGAAAGTATCCTCGATTGAGGCGCTGGTCTTTGAGCTGCTGCCGAACCTCCTGATATGAGGCCAAGGCTTCCATAACCTCAGACTCTTCCAGGACGTGGTCCAGATCACCCTCCGCGATGTACACGAAGTTCTCATCGTCCTCGTCCGGGATCGTGTAATAGATCTCCTCGCCGTTGTAGTGGTCACCCATGGCGTCCTCAGTCAAATAGGTCCCTTCGACCTGGAAGCTGCTCTTGGCCTTGTCTCTCACCACCTTGTCCAAGCGACGGAGTGCACTGGTCACCTCAGCTCGGCTGTATTTGCCTTGCGTCCAGGTCAGCAACTTCTGGTCCTGAGCTTCCGTCAAGGAGGCCTGACGATAGAGGATGTAGCCCCTGGCGTCAGCCGGCAAGTCCACACCCTCCTTGGCCAAATTCGTGAATGCCCGCTCCATTCGTTTGGCGTACTCTGCAAAGGTCTCCTTGGACTGCTTAGGCGTCCCGTAGACCGCGGTCTCGAAGGCCCGCGGCAGGGATACTTCAAGATGTGGTGTGAAGTATTCTCTCAACTTCTGCATGATGTTCTTCACGCCCTGCTCCTGGACGATCTCGCTGACCTCCATGTCGTCGACCGCTGTCGCGGCTACTCCTGTGAGCTGTCTCAGGAGCTTGACGCCGCGCTTGGTCTCCGGGACCTCCGTCTCAAACAGCCAAAGCTGGACTTGCTTCTCGAACTGTCGGAAGGTGGTTTCAGGATTCTCTCCGTCGTAGGTAGGTGGTGGATCACGGTCTCGTGGAATGTAGTCCGCCCTGGCTGCTGCCGTGCTGGCAGCTGCAAACCGTCGCTCTCCTTGGCGACCGCCTTCATCCCCGCTCATGGCCTCAGCTTTGCCCTGGATGGAACCGAGGGCTCCGCGCTACCACTGTAGAACACGTGGATCGCACGGCCGCCTCACAACCTTTTCCTGCAAAAAGACGGCATGGCTTTGGGGTAAGATACGGCCCCTATGATTGGGCCGGGACGGCAACAGAGGTTTCGGGACTCAGCATGGATCGACCGATGTCACAAGTTTCACAAGTATACAAATAGTCCATAAAACTGTATGGTTCTCTCTGCTTGATTCACACTCGGCAGCGGTGATTCTCACAAGTGCAGCTGCGGAGCTCTTCCAAGTTTCCACGCTTTATCTTTGACATAGGCGTCTTCTTGAACCAACCTTCAAGCCACTCCTGCCAAGTCTAACTGCAAGATCTGTAAGTGCCTGTTACTCCCTCCGTCTTTCCTCTCCCTTTCTATCTATCTTTTGTTTCCGGAAAGGCTTGCCCCATCTTGCTCCTACCGTACGAGTACATTGTGAAATCCATTTGACTTTGCTTCAACTGTTGATAGAAGCAGCTGTCCGTCGGCGTTCGACCAATCGACCACTTCGCACACTGATCCACTTGCTTGAAGGTTCGCTGGAAAATATCCTAGGTTGCTGCAAAGCTTCAGTGTGTTGAACTTGCACAAGGCACCTCTGAGAAAGCACCACTGGTAGTCAGCTGCTAGTCAGCTAGTCCATTAGTGACATTTGCGGAAAAAAACGCCTACAGTAGAATGTATCTATTGGCCAGTGACAAGACAAACCAAGAAGCGAAAGACTTGGCCGGTTGCAACCTTTGCGCAATCGGCTTCACGACGTTCAAACGGCTTCGCAGGCTGTGGAGCCAAACCAGGAATGACGCCTCTGCCAGGACCTCGAAACTCTCAGTTTCGCTTTCTATCACAACTTGGGAGACGTGACGAAGCACCTCCCGAACTTGCAAGGTGCTCAGCAAGAATATTTTCACGTGTCAAACAAAGGGTGTGTAGTGCGGGAAGTTGTTGAAGAAGAAACACGAAATGAGTTACAGGGGCCCTTAGCTTCTTCTTTTTCAAGCTGCTAAGCTTAAGGACAACATATTTATCTGCAGTTGAGATACAAACAACACGCCGGTGATCTCAAGAAATCGCTCAACGACCACCACAGGAAAGATGAGAAATAACACCTTAATCGCCCCTGTGTGATTGTCCGTCAGCATTGTGATCATTGTGACTATACTATATTGTGTTCTATACTTTTCTATCCAAGCTTTCCTGCAATGAAACAGACATGATTTCCAGAACATCACCGTTGAAATGCGATTTAAGTACTGGCAGCAGCAGCACCACTGCCACCAATCTGGCTGACCTGGAGTCGAGTGTCATCAGTGTCATGTGTGTCTCGTGGGTGCATGAATTCTGAGAGATCTCTTTCGAAAGACAACCGAATGCCAAAGCCGAAGCCCTCCAAGTATATCCGCTCGGAGACAAGGGACACAACAGCAGGAAAAACATCCCGAATGGACTGTCGAAGAGATTCCAGTGATGACATCAATGCTCCATACATCATATGCGGGTGAAGCTCCTGACGGAACCAGCACCGGTCCAGCAGGAAATCACTGTGTGAACGCAGTCGAACTCGCAGTCTGCGAAGTCCAAGACAAGACTTTCACGTCAAAACGAAACACAAAGCGAATCAAAGCGAATTGTTTTTTTTGCCCATTCAAAGGGGCCTTTTTAGGTCTCCCAAAGGGGGTTCTTGATGTAGTATGGGTCTGAAAAAGGACAGACGCTTCGGCAACATGCTCCAAGAGTCATCCAGGTCGGCACTGCATAAATAGCCAGAACGTGATATTCTCCTAGAATTCTTCAGGTTCTGCCCACAAGCAGATTGAGGGAAACAGCTTGGAAACCAGCTTGCGATGCACAGCATTTTGCACGAATCATCTTATTTTGCACTTTCTGAGATAGTTTGCCTTGGCTCCAGGGGTGAATCATCGGTCCCCGACTTGGCACCTCGGCTTACAATCCATCTCCGTTGTCACCAATTTCTGCCAGCAAAGCAAGTAAATCAAGTGCAGCTGTGCCGCACGCCATGGGAGATAATGGGAAACCAACAAGAGGATCTTCAAGGATGTTCAAGGTTGCTCTGTCGCCATCGGGCCGCCCATCCCAAAAGAAAAGTTTGTCTGCAGCAGGGTACTGGCCAAACATTTAAACGTTGGCTTGCTGTGTGTGGAAGCAACGATCCGGTCCTAATTTGTTGTATGTATTCTGTATATCCTGTCGTAAGCTTTGTTGTGTAGGACAACCTTGTGCAATTTATTGACAATGTTCTTGGTTCAGGATCCAAATCTGCACACAAAGCATGGCAAAGCTGATCAAAGTACCAACTCGCTCAAACATGTTGAACATGGACTTGAGTCACTTGAGACTGAAATTGAGTGAATAAAGGCACCTTGGGAGAAAGGCGGTAGCGCACTGCTCTACTGCGAGATGCACAAAGTCCAGGCTGGAAGTCGTTGCTTTCGTCGAAGATGGCCCACCACGGCAGCAGTTCTGGCCTCAGGCGGAATAAATTTCACAGAGTTTCAAATCCATGTTAAAGGAAGTGTTGGTTTGCACATGCAAAGCCTGATTTGTGATGCAGTTACAAATCAAGGTGTTGCTGTGCATCCACCCAACTTACGTGGCAACTTCCTTCCAATCTTCCTCCGAACTCCACAAGGGCCCCACAATCCGAGTAGTGCTCCTCTATCCACCTGGCGGCATTCAGCTTGATGTTTTGCTCTCACTACTGCGAGCGAAGGTCGTAGTTCTGCCTGTGTGCCAATGGCAGTCAAAGCCCGCGCAACGGCGGCACGTCTTCCGCGAGGTCTTCTCGCATAAAGCCGCACAGACTCAGTGTGACCGTTGTCTTTTCACCACCAAAACGTGTGTGACCATTCTAGTGTTTGGATTTCTTCCTATTCTTTTGTTGTTTCTATTAGCGATGGCCTCCAACATCATAGCAATGGCCTCCAACCTACTAGCGATGGCCTCCCCCCTAATAGCTAAACAAATTAGGACATGTGTGACTTGAGCTTCCCGGCAATGTCTGCTGCCGAGACCTGCACCCGGCCGATGACTGGTTACAAGTTGTAAGTTGACCTTGTTTGCTGAGAAGCCCACCCTTGTTGGGCTTGTGCACTCCTCCGTTTCCTTGGCATCGCCTGGACAGCAACACGTGTTGAGAATTAATGCACATTCCGTTGATCCCACCTGGCCCGCAAGAAGGATCAACGAATTCCGTCAAAGGTATCCTGTGCACCGCAAACTGAGATGATTGCTTGTATTCCATCCTCAAAGCCTCGAATTGATTGCCTCTTGCAACCAAGAATCCGTGTCACTGCACTACCAGCTTCCGATGCTTGCACTGCCACCACGCACCTCAACAAGTGAAAACCACACACCTCAACTTTTGATGTGAGATTGCCTGGACCAAGTGGCGGTGGCAGAATTTCACCTTGTGCTGGTTGAAGCGTCAATGTAACCCCATCTTCTGCAAAGACCAGGAGGAATTGCCCTACGTACCTTGGAATGTGTCAAGATCCTAGAAAAGAACCAAAGTGAGCAAACATTCAATCAACATCGGGACGTGGCAAGTATCAATTAGGGGAAGACCGAAGCTTGCTCCCCTGCTGAGAAACTGTCTGCAAATTAACACTCTCACAACTCCGAGGAGAAGACAACGCGTGCCAACAAGTTCCTGAGATCTTGTCTGTGTTCACTGCTGGTCTGGATCTGAACAATTGAATAATATAGGTGTAGGTCAAAACTCCCTGCTGTCAGAGTGAACGTCCCACCTGCCTTTGGCGCCAAGTTTTGACCCACAGCTATGACGTTGAGTCTTGCTGCAACCAAGATGCCATCTGAAAGCCGGCGCCAAAGTTGGTCACCCGGCTTCAGTGGCAACAACGACAAATCCGGTGTTGACATGGCAACATAGGCACGTCTCCATTGCTTTCACCAGAGTCCGGCTATCTAAAGCAGCTATAGCAGTGAATGGCAGTGAGGTAGCTAGTGGAACACTGAGTCAACTCTTCTTTGACCCTGCATCTCAATGAGCAAGAGCTGTGATACAAAATGCAAGTGTAGCAAAGAGGTAAATGCGCATGTCTTAGTCTGATAGGGTGACAAACTCTTTGGCTTGTGCTTGAGCTTAGTATTGTAGAACCCAGAGGGGTCATTGTTTCAACCACAACAACAATGCAAAAAATGACCCCCAATTTGACTTAGAAGGCCACCAGGAACCACAGTCCATCTCCATCCTCCTAAGCAAGTGAGACAAATGCAAGGCGTCCAAAACATCTTGTGCCTCCGTGCCGGCTGTAAAACTTTTATTGGCCTCATCATATCGATCGTCGCTGTGAGCGAGAGCGGCCTTAGCTGAAAAAACTATTCAGCACAGGGGTTCAATGCTGGAGAAGGCCCGAACAGTTTGAAGCAAATGCGGTGGTTCCACCAATTTGTGCACCTTGGCAGGTGACTTGGTCGTAGAATCACACAAAAATCAGATAAGCAGGTGTCATACATGTGCCAATGATTGATGGTTTCAACGGAAGAAACAAAAACATGCGAACTCTGAAACAACATTCATTGCTGCTGTTACACCGGTCATCTCAACACTCTGTGCACTTGGCTGGAGATGATGCAGTGACCTGTTGTTGCATATCACTGGAATGCAAGAAAACTCAGCAATACATGAAATGCGCTCTTGGGCTGACCGTTGCCGGTTCATTGTCACGGACATCCAAAAGATCAACACCTGACACAATTCGTAAATGTAACGCAACTAAAACATATCAAAAAAACTCTGACTGAGGGCCAGGCCGAGCCCCAATGAAGTGCCAGGTGTGGTGACGTTGAAAGTAGGTTGTTTTATGCGTGCTCCTGGCGATGTCTGTCTCCGGTCACCGTGTTTCATACTCTATTTTACATGCACTTGCCTGATTGGTTGAAAGAACGTTGCGGTCTTCCCACGCAAGGGCCTTGGCTACAACTGGATTTTCTGGCTGCCCTGCCCCCCCCCGATCTCTCCAATGAGAAACGTTAAGCTTCGGCGAGAAAAGACTCAATGCACTTAGCCCGCCACTCAGTGGCACTTGTGTAGATTGCACGTGGACTTGCTGCGAAGATGCCCTTGCCTTGTCCGCTCTTCTTGTGAATGGCACACTTAACTGTTTGTTCAAGGCTGTTACTGTAAGAAGGGTCTACAAACACAGTAGATGAGGCAAAGACTGCAACCGATGCCGGCCTTGCATAGAAAAACAATGAAAAACATGCGGTGAGCAAGTCACTGCACAAGAACTTGTTTCATACTATTTCCTTTCTGGGGAGAGGAAAGGTCAGGGGTGCATCCACAAGATTTGCTCCCCATTCAACGAGGATGTCCTGATTCTTCAGCGTGCTGAAGCTGCTGAAAATGAAGACCGGACTGCACCGACGGTGGGCTAACTAACTGCAGGCTGGGTGTGGTAAGCAAAGTGGAGAAGGATTAGTGCCGCTGGAACCATGTCTAGGGCACCAGCCCAGAAACCTTCTTGAGCAAAGCCTCAGGTTGGCACTTCGATTCTCAAACAGCACTTCGATTCTGCGAAACAAAGCACTGTCTCAATGGTTGAAACGTGGTTTCTGTTTTTCCTGGTGTTTCAAGCGGTTTCATAGGCAAGCCCCACTGCCTCGTCGTCTGCAAACCCTCTGCGGGGAAACTTTATGTCAGGATGCGCTCGGTCCTTGGTCAATCTGAAAGCAGCCTGTGACAACACAAAGCATGTGCAACAACGCTAAATAGGAGGAGCCAAGAACACTTTGGGTGGAATGGTTCAAGAAACTACAACCATGAATCACGTCTGTCAGCAACTGAGACACCTGCCCAATCACCCAGGAGTTCTTGCAAGATCACTCGCACCTCCAGCTGCAAAAATGCCCCTCCCTCTCTGTCTCTCTCTGTCTCTCTCTGTCTCTCTCTCTCTCTCTCTCTCGGTCAAGGCATCGGCATCATCTCCTTCTTCCACCGGCAGCCTTCCGCAAGTTCAGGACCCCATTGGAATAAAAGCACCCTAGATGACGGAGTTGAGTGCGCCACCCTTGTGCTACCGGCTTGTCAGCCTCAGTGCAACGAATCCGCAAAATGGTGCGATTGGCCAATTCCCTGTGCGTTGCGAAGACTATATTCAAACAGTTAGGCCCAAGCCACAGCAGGTGCTGTGAATGAAGTTCGTTTGCTCTGTGTCTTGGATGACCGGCTGCGGTTGGAGAGTGCCTTGATGACACCATGAGAGAGTTCACTAGCAGCTTTTGCTGCACTGACTGAGTCTGCAGCATGCAACTGTTGCAAAGTGATGCTCTCTATGCCTAGGTTCACATTCAATCATATTTCCAACCACTGTAGAGATGCCTCCATTGTGCTGGAGGATTGCAGTGCAGGCTGGATGGCAGCAGCCCCGAGTGTGAGACTCCATTCATCATCCGTGTCCTTGGCCAGAATCTAGTGGATGTTTCGACGAACAAGCGTATGCAATGATGGATTGTTGGTGCCTGCCCATCAGAGTTGCAGGTCATCATGCAGGACTGGGCAGCAGCCACTGCAGCTGCATCATTGAGCGTGGTGCCCTGGCAACCAACCAGAAACAAAATCTACGAACTGGACTAAATGGAAGCAACTCAAGTATTCTTGTTTGCTGCTGTGCCTTGTCATAGCCCGACCGAAGCCAGCCTCTGATTTGAAGTCACTCTGGGAGCACAATGCGCTACAGAATTACTTTTTGTCCGGCCTAGTTGGTCGCATACATGTTCCCACTCGCCCTCCTGTTCTCAAAGGCTTGAGGCTTAGATCAGCTTTGTGGCCGACCTCATAAACAGTTCTTTAAGGAAGTGGTATGGAGGCTCCTCTGCTGCGACCCCCTTGCGTGGCATCTGGAAAGTGCCCGCAAAAGGCAGTTTTTCTGCCTCGGGTGATCTGGGTGATCTCCACACACTGGCATGCTTGTACGCATCAGTAAGCTCATCTTTTGCCACATCAGCCAAGGCCATGGCCTTGTCAAGGCAAAAGGCCTTGCACCAAGGAATTGTTGCACGGCAGCGGCCGAATATGAATGAAGGGAATGGATGGCACAACGCGACTGATTGGATGCCAAATGCCTGGCCTCTTGCATTTGCGCAGGCTTGCGGAATGCGGCTTTAAGGGCTAAAACAAGGCCTCAGCAACATAGCAGTCCACCCACCACGAAAGCTATGACTGGAATGGCCCCAGACTGGAGCCACAGCGTCTCAGAAGATGTCGCAACTCCGGTGGGAGCTTTGAGGGCTCCTGGCAGAAAATGGGTGAACATCATGATTGACATGATGGTGAGCAACGTGTGAGGCTCCTCCATCGGACCCCGCCAACATGCGAGGTGCCACACTCCAGAATCGGTTAAAACGTCCTGCAGTGGTGGGTTCACCTATCACAAACGTTGGAGCTCCAAGCTATTAAGGAGCTGCACCGCCGTACGCAGCCCATCTCCTCCTCTTTGATTCCAAGCGTGACTGCCTGCCGCTGCAAATTCATAGCCGAAAACAACACACTTCGTCCCAAAAAGTGCAACTCTAGTCAAGTCCTTGGAGAACCGCCACTCCACCAGCGCACAAACCCTCAGATGGCTGCAACTCGCAAAGGTCCCAACGAGTTTGGTGGGATCATATTGTATAGTGCAATTGTGCCATCCGAACCGGGAGTAAAGCTGATGCACTGGGTCTTGACTGCACTGGGCCATGACTAGTGACTAGAGCTCTCAGGCAAGGACGCTCGTGCGTCGTCCTTAGGGAGTTTGAAGCTTGCAGTAAGCATATTTCACTCTCGGGATATGCCTCGAAGGGTGTAAACACAAACACATGTTCCATGGAGAAGATGTTGCTCTGAATGAAGGGGCTGCCTTTGAGGAGAAAGTGGGGCACATGGGTGATCAGTGAGAGGTGTCTAGTGGTAGTGGAACTGATTGAAAGTGGAGCGTTCAATGACATCCCCCCTGACTTCTCCAAACCCGAAGCCCCAGCTGCAGTGACTCTTGAGGTTGCCCCCTGTTAAGTGTGCGATCCAGCACTTAACAATAACATGTAGTAATTAACAATCCTTGAGCAAGTAGAGCCCATCTTGTCTCGCAAAACTTCAGTGCTTTTGACACACCTTTCATCGTATGACAAAACACCTCTAGTCTATGGATGGGTTATAGGCTATAGGAAATCATTAGGAACTGAAACGAACGAAGACTAAACTAAAAAAGAGAAGGAGTTCAGGCAACGCGCCAGTTGGTCGTAAACACGCGCCCACGACGCTCAAAACCCCCCTGTAAACGGACCCATCACGTCCATCTTGCCCCACGCACGATATGGCTTCAGCCAAACAACTCAACCATTCTTTGTCAGCAGCAACGTCTAAGAAGTCTTTCGGTTGGCACCCAGCTGTGTTGGCACGGCACTGTCTGTACACACGAAAGGCTTCGAAAACACTGAGCAGACCTGGACTGTCGTTCAAACGACTGGCGCACAACTGGTCTATGTGACTTCCGGCTGGACATCCACTGTTGGTTCTCCTCAGCTGCAGCTTGGTGGCTGCAATCTTGCTCTCATTTGCATTGTCACCAGCCACCACTTTGAACTGCGTCTTCTGCTGCAATGCCACCTTGTCTTTCACCGTTCTGCAACATCTTGCCCTGTCGCGCTGTCAAGCCCTTTTTTTGATCGGTAAGAAGTCAGACAGCAAAGGCGGAGCAGAGTCAGAACTAGCCACGCAGCTATCAGGTTCCACAAACTTCGTAATGCTAGGAGCTCCCCTCAAAGGGCTCGCAGGCTTCATTGGCAAAGCGGCGTGCTCGCAGGCCAAAAAATAAATACACATATTGATCTAAAGAAAACACGTTCACCCGCCACAATGGTTGTAAACAAGAAGAACCAAAGGACAACCAACCGATTCAACAGCACTAGAAAACATACGGTCGCGACTTCTTGGGCCTTTATGCA